CCCACGCGCTCGCCCCACGCGCTCGCCCCACGCGCTCGCCTCACGCGCTCGGGTGGAAACGAAAAGAGCCTGAGTGGACAGTTCCAGGCTGATAACATTGTAACGTTTGGTTAAAAAATAATATTTTTTTTGTAATCCTCCCCGGTTGGCTGGTGAGCACCAATCCAGCGACTCAATCCGAAATGTCGTGTTTTTGAATCGCACCCTGAGCATCAATGTTTGTTCTACGCAGTATGGTTAAACCCTAGAAACCGACGAGGCGGCAAGTATCTACCTAAATTAAAAACTAAATTACGTTACCTAGGCAACAAAAATTCACATCTCAATATGTTAGAAATAAAGTTTTCCAAAAGAAGTTTTGTCCCCCCCCTAGACACAAACCGATGAGCCTTTTCTCATTTATGAACTATTTAAACACCAAATCGTTATTTATCTTAAACTAGAATTTTGTTTACTATGCATCATATATCATAAATATTCTATATCTATTGTTATTGTCTTACGCAGCTGCAGAGGACAAAAGGCCAAGCTTGAAAAAATAAAAAAGAATAGAATAAAGGATCAAAGAACTCCTCTTAAGATATTTTAAGGGTAAACGCCCACAACTATAAAAATATCTAATAAAGAAGATGAATGATACAAATTTGAAACGGTAGCTGTATACACATGAGTGTCCTAAGATCTCTGAACACAGAAAACTAGCAAAAATTATTAAAAATGGAAATTAACGATTGATCTCCTAATGTTTCTATCTTGTTAGATAGAAAGGCAGAAATGTGTAATAAGTTTTGAATTTTTATTTCGAAAGATTAGCTGTCACGTTTACTTCTAAAGGCGAATTTTATATATTACTAGTAGGATCCCAAGTTTATTTTTTTATTTTTCCATAAAAAACAAACAAAATAAAATTCCGATTTTTACGAACATTTGTAGCGACTTCACATTACGTTAACCACTTGAGAAAAAAAGAAGTAACACACTCTTATCAGACTTCCTCGCGCAGGCACGTGGTCGAAATCCATATAAGTTGTGTGAGGTAGATTTCCTTGACTCCGTGCTTCTGTGATACTTGGGTTTATGTTACATGTAATGTAAACGCTGTAGACCTTATAATTCAGCATTTTTGACGCAATTAAATTTTCATTCTCTTTACAAGTTATACTTATGGTAATATGCAGCGTGTATCTCGTATTACGTAAAAAGAAAGTTGCGATGTGAAGTACCTATCGGTTTTCCTCCCCCTTCCCTCCGACTGTCGCGATACAGCGACGGCTGCATCCTGTAGAAACTCGAACAGCTAAGAGGTTTCCTAGTTTGACCGGTTGGCGCAGACTAGAGAGAGGTGCTCTTTGCTTCAGTGCTTGAAGGTTTTGCAAGTGGAAGTATGTGATTTAAAATTCAAGATGCTCAATTTTTTCCTGTAAATTTGAAAAAAAAATCGTTGGTATTCGAAATACGATGTGTTAGAAATCACAGAAAATGAGTATCGTAAGATAAGACTGATACTGCCTTCAGTAGAATTTAAACATAGATATGAGTTAAAAAGTCTCCTCCTCATTCTATAACTCGAGACATTTTTTCAATATAATTTTTCTTTTCCTCCAAACCGTGTATAGAGATGTGGAAAACACAATGTGCATTTTGATGACAAAAATTAAAGGAAATCCGGAATCGAAGTCCCTTTTTATGATATATTTCAATAATATAAAGTATGCTTTTTGAAATAATATAGATTTTCAGAGCTGCGATTTCAGCTTTTTACTCTCAGTAAACACAACTCGTTGCAATCTCCGGCGTGTAACATGTTTCTGCTCAAAGTAATTGGAGTGTTGCTATCGAGCTTTTGCCGGTTGTATAGGATATTTAAAATCCCTTGCATATACTACACGTATTTTAGCTTTCGATAAAGTTCGGGGAATCAAATTGCAAATATTCAGTTCACCAGTTTTGTTGAAGAGTTTTGAATTTCAGCTTTTTTAGTATGTTCAGACGAGTCCTGAATTTAATTTATGTTCTATCCCCACCAACCTCTCCACATTCATATTTTCATACTCGTATTTAACACTCCATGAGCCTTTCTTTACTTTTCTCTCACTACAATTTTCTTTTCAAATTTTTATGTGTTCGTGCAGGTAACGCACCAAAACTAAAAAAAATGCTGACAAATTACATGAACCTTTTTCAGATTCACCAAGAATATTAAGACATTAGATCTGCTAGCAATACAGAATCAATTACGTTACAACAGATTATTACATTTTCGTTAAACTCTTATTCATATTCACAACGCATTTATACACCAACTTGTAGTTATAACAATCACGACTCTAAACGTTTTTTAGGTACGTAAAAATCACTATTTTCGACGTGAAATAGAGTTGGCGTGAGGCAAAAATTTTTCAGAGAACAATCTAATACTTCTTATGATTACCAGACACCAAAATAGCATAGGAAATTTAAAAGTTGACGTTTGATGAAGGTCGAACAAGAACTCGAATCATGCCAGTTCGTAGTAAAAACACTAGGCACGATACTGCATTGGCCTCCAATTTCCATTTCGTGTTAAAACGCCATTAACGAAACATTGTGTAGTAAATAAAAACTCAGTTGAGCACTTCGATTTCGTGATTTTCTCGGTAAGTAAATGTGCTGATAATAAAAGACTATTTTCAGTATTGCAGACCGTGCTAATTTGGAAGTGTTAAGAAGTTTATCAGTGTTACATCATGCGTTTACGGAATGATCATTTCCTTGGATTCAGAAAGACATGCAAAAAAGTGCAAAAGTGTACAGCAGTATGAAGCAGACGTATCTATGAAAACGGTAAAATCTTTTCGATATATTACAATATTTGCGAAAGAATTGTCTTCACTTTGTTTTCCATAAAAATATTGTAAAAAACTACAAAC